CTCGTCGCTGCGCGCGCAGCAGCAGCAGCCGCGCGTGCTGCACCGCCTGCGCGCGCTGCTCTACCTCCGCGGCAACCTGACGCGCATCTCCATCTACCAGCACCACCTCATCAGCCCGGCGGCGGTGGCCGCGGACCCGGAGCGCGCGCGCGTCGCCGTCGACCTCGCGCGCGACACGGTCCAGGTCCTCGTGCACCTCAACGCCACGTCGGACATTTACTCGCGCCAGCAAAACGCCTTCAACTACTTTCTGGCGAGCGCGTTTGCCGTCATCTCGCTCGCGCTGTGCCACGCCCCGCACATCTTCGCCGCGCCCTGCACGCAGAGCTTCATGGACGCGGCCGGCCTCGTCAAGGGCTTCAGCCGGCACAGCATGGCGAGCAAGCGGCTGTGGAAGAGCATACGGGGCTTGTCGCCGCGATTGAAGAGTCTAGGGGTGGGCGGTCCGAGCGGCAAAGAGCAGCAGCAGCAGCAGCAGCAACACCAGCAGCATCAGCAGCATCAGCAGCAAGGGGGTAGGGGCGTCGATGCTGGCGGAGCGGCGAGGTGGAGAGGGTATAATCAGCTGTATGCGGGCGACGGACGGCAGCCGGCCGGCGGCGGGACCAGCCAGTCGGCGCCGCCCGCACCGGATAGTCTGTGGAACTACAGCCTGAAGCCGCCGGCGGCGACGGCGGGCGGTGGTGGTGTGGGAGGGCAGCAGGCGCTCGCGGGAAACAATAATAGCAACAACGCGGAGCCGCTGCCGGGCATGAACCCGGATATCCTGAGCTTGTTCGACTCGCTGGGCGACGAGGCCATGTTTAGCAGCGGCAGCTTCGACGCGGGCGTGTATGGCGGCATGGATCCGGATGGCGAGGGCGGCGACATTTCGAGGCTTTTTCTGCAAGGTCTTATGTAGGTAGCATGGCGTTTGGGACTGTGTTGGGGAGGTTTTTATGAGTTTATGGGTGGGATGTAACTAGACGGAGGTGGACGTGCGCTGAATTTGTTGTGGTTTTTTGCGGGGGTTATATGTATTGCATTTGGGCGGCTTTGTATTGATTGGACTTTGGGGTTATCTGCTTTCTTATACTTGACTCTTGATATTGTGGTCTCTCCACACGTTGTACACTGGTTCCTTGATGTATGAATATTTGGTCATGTCATTCAATCTTACTATATATACACATGTTATCAAGGCATCTAAACTATGCTGATACTTGTCCGTGTCCCTTTGCCCCATTCGTGCCATTGGTGCCGTTTGCTCCCTTCTCGACAGCGCAGCAAGAGCTTCCCTCCGTCAGCTTCGACCCAGTGTCCGCGCTCGACGGCACATCCAGGGCCGGGTTGCCGGTGAAGAAGTCGGACGGGGTGATGTGCACCTGGATCATTTCGACGGGCCTGCGAATTCATTAGTTTATCTGGTCTCGGAAAAAAAGTGTGAGACGCGGGGGAGAGAGAGTTGACTTACATGACGGGCCAGTCCTCAACGCGCGGGTTGTGGGTCAGGCCAAAGACGCTCCAGACGACGATATCCTCGTCCTCGACATTGTCCTTGCGGTCGGCGGCGTCGCGGACGCCGTCGACCTCGTTGCGGCTGAGCAGGGTGTGGCGGCCGCCGGCGTAGAGCTCGTCGTCCTTGTACTTGGTGACCCAGAGGTGGTGGCGGGCAAAATGGGCGCGGTTGGACTGGATGCTGCCGGGTGCGGCGAGCAGCAGCTGCGAGGGGGGACCGGAGACCTTGTAGCCGACGGGCTTGCCGCTGACAGGGTTCTTCTTGGCGCGGTTCTGGATCTTGAAGACGCGGTTGTTGAAGGGGGCGAGGTCGAGCCCGGCCGACTCCTTGATGACGGTCGAATTGACGTGGTAGAAGTTGCCGTTGGGGTTCGTCGCCGCGTCCACGGCGGCCGGCAGGCTCTCCTCCTGCACGAGCGTGTTTGCGTGCCCGTCGATGGCCGGGTCGAGCCGCAGGCAAAAGATGTGCTGGTGGTTCTGCGCAATGGCGCCCGGGTTGACAATGTTGCCCCACGGCGCCGTCTTGCCCTCGTCCATGTTGACGACGGACACGATGCCCGTCGCGCGTGCCTCGAGCGTCAGGCCCGCCGCCTGGTCCAGGATGAAGGCGAAGACGTACTCGTAGTTGGCCAGCGTGAGGATGTACTGCACGACGAGCTCGCGCCGGCGCGTGACGACGGCCCGGCCCGTCCGCCAGTTGGTGTGCTTCCAGTTGATGCCGTTGTCCTGCTCGTGCAGGCAGATGACGTTTTTGCTGGCCTCGGGAGAGCCGTCGGGGTTGGTGAGGACGCCGTCAAAGTACTGGAGGGGGGCTGTGTTAGTTGGTGAAATTTACGGAGTAGAAGAGAGGGGACGGACCTTGATGACACCGAGACAGTCGCAGCCAAGAGTGAGGTTGTTGACGCAGTTGCCGAGGCCGCCATCGCCAAAGTCGAATGCTTGCTTGCGATGGAAAGGGGGTCTGGGGTCAGCATACGGGACAGTCTGTACGCATGTTAGATCAATTTCGGTTGAAGACTTGGTTTAGGGAAGACTGACCATGTCGCTCATGCTGACTCTGTACATGACACTGCGGCCATCATAGCGGACGTCATGCAGTACGGCGCCCTCGCGGGGGTTGAATGTGACGCGGAAGCGCCACTTCTGCCACTGGACCAGGTTGTCATCCGTGATGGAAAAGCTCGGGCCCTCGGGCTGCAGCACCGTGAGCGGCTTGACGTCAGTCCGGACGCCGCCCGGAAGCAGCTCCGGGACGTACTCGGCGGAGCGGCAGTGGTCCAGGACGGCGGGCTTGTTGGTGATGCCGACGAGCCCGTCGTCGTGGCTGCCGGTGGCGGGCTGGTCAATGCGGACGAGGGTCATGCTGCGGATGTCGATGATGGGGATAAAGGGTAGCGGGTAGGCGTAAAAGTTGGCGTCGGGGTTGCCGCTGCGCGTGTCGCGGCCGAAGCAGAGGGCCTGGAAGAGGCGGGCGGCGCCGTCGGCGTCGTCTGGCCCGCCGTACGGCCAGGGCTCGACGACGAGCTCGAAGCCCTCGGGCAGCTGGATGGACTGCAGCTTGGCCTTGAACTCGGCGGATTCGTGGACGCACTGGACGACCTTTTCAAACTCGTAGCTGTTGGCAGTTGTCAGTAAACCGGTTGACCAAGACACAAAGGACTACTTACATGCCCAGGCTGGCATGGTACTTGGCATCAATGGCCTCGTTCACGGTGCGCTTCCCGGTGACGAGATCGACGACGGACTCGTGGTACTGCGTCGCCTTGTCGCCGCCGATGACGTCGTACTTGAGCTGGGCCAGGCGGGGCGGGCGCGGCGTGTCGGCCGTCAGCGTGCCGGCATGCTCGGCGTCGAGGAAGGGCACGACGTCGGCCTTGGCCGGTTCCAGCAGGTAGATGACGCGGAAGTCGACGAGGGCGCCCGGGTGCAGCGAGAGGATGACGTCGCGGGCGCGGAGGACCTCGTCGGCCGACAGCGCCGAAAGTGGATGTGGGGTGGCGGTCATGATGTTGTGATGGTTTTGTGTATGCAAAGCAACCCTATCAAAGGAAAGGTTTTAATCAGAACAAGAGGAACAAGAAGGGGGAAGAGTCGTGTGTCTGAAGCTGGAGATGGAAAATCCGGGGTGCTTCTGCTGCCTTTTTACTATTTTTCCGAGTACCACAATCCGGGGTTCTAGGACCGACGCTCCCAAGGACCCCGCGGGGCGCCGCTTGGAGAGTGAGGGGAAAGATTCAAGCTTCGAGACTAGTTGAGCGCGTGCGGAACGACATTTCCAGCACCTGGACCTATCAAAACACAAAACAACGTATATAAGCTATCTAGAGTGGGTTCTTGTTGACGGCCGAGACGGCGTCTGTTGCTGAACAATATACGATTCGGGATGGTGGCTTGGCGACGATGCCCGATTTGGGTACTGTTTGGCAACCGGGGCCCCCCTTTGATAGGTGTTTTGTTTCCTGTTGTTATTTTCTGTAGTTATCAGGAGTGGCATATCGGATTCGGAAACGGGGGGGTTTGGGGTCTCGTGGCAATTGGCGACGGTAATTCTCTTGGTTCCCTGCATGAAACGTTGGTCGAGAGAGGCTGCCGCTGACGAAGCGGCCTTTGAAGGGGGGAAGCCAGCGCATGATACCACAAGGCACAAGATGCGACACGATGGATGTCTGTCTGGTCACGATGCGACTTTTTTGAAGGGACAAGGAGCACCTCGTGGTATTGAACGGGAGCGGCCGGGGACTTTAATGGAAATTTCCCCGACAGCCGTACTGTGTGCGGAGTGTCCGTAATTCATTCGTACTGTGGCGCGTTTGCGCATTTACCGAGACAATTGACGAGACAATTGACAATTGAGGAGAAAAGAAAAACCCGCAACTCCAGAAAAGCCATCTGCCGACCGGCGCTCCGGCACCAAAGAACCAAAAAAAAAAAAAGAGGCCAGCAAGACATACAGATACACAAGCGCGCGCCGCAACAAAGGGGAGAGACCAGGGGCGGCATATCGATTCCGTCGGGATCGCCCTGTCCCCCCCCCGTCGCCTCGTCGTCGTTCCGCGAGTGCCACTTTCGCATTTTGTGCAACATGTTATGAAGATAAAGAAGGGGAAAGAAGAAGATGGAAAAAAGAAAAGAAAAAAAAAAAAAAAAACTGCGACAAATGAAACCCAGTGACCACGGCGCATCTCTCTCGGAAGTGCCATCCGTCCAACCTTTTCTCTCTCTGCAGTGTGATTCCGAGATGGCGCCCGCAGCTCAGCCTCTTGGTTGCCCTGCCTTGTCTGGCTGTATGGTATCCGTACAAAAGTACATATTATTACTAGTTATTTTAACTTATTTTAACTAGTTAACAACATCAGTTCAGTCCGTTTCGTCCCTTGTTCGCCCACTTCTCTCTATTCACCCCTGTCATGTCAGTCTCTAGGCATCAATGCATAACTACGGACTGAAAAGGTGTCCAAATCACGCCAATCTTCTTCTTCACCGTTTGTGTTGAGACACAAGCCACCGTTTTTTTTTCCTTTTTTTTTCTTGGCCGGTAACTCTCAGGGGCCTCCGTTCGTCATCCTGGCCCCCCCCTCCCAGCGCGCACGGTTAGGCACCAGAACCGTTTTGTCAACTGTCGCAACTAGTTTACTAGTAGGTATTAGATAGTGAATAACCCAAAAACTCTTCTGCCGAACATGTCTGTGTAATTTTCACCTGTTCTCTTCTTCTTCTTCACCTGACTAGGTAGTTAGAGCACATCTCAATTTCCCACTTTTTGCCTCTTTCTCTTTCTCACCCCCTGTTTCCATCTCAATGCTGCCTCAGGGGCCCCACGCAGATTGGATCATCATCGCCAAAAACAAAAAAGAAATCAACTACATTGTCAAGCATCTGCCGAATAACGCAACATCACGATCCCAATGACCAATGTGCCTTCTCGGGATAACAAACAACGTCGCGGCTTACACGGGGCCCAGCAGCCAATCGCCACCCTGGATACACGAGGGAGAGACATCGCGTTTTTTTTTTTCGCCATCCATCTCCTCTCTATTATCCCTTAATCAAGTCCTCTTCAACGCCTCAATCACAGTGTGATGACTTTATTTGTGTGTTACCCCGCCCATCGCTGCAGAAGACGGATTATCCATGCCTGGACTGTGCACAAGTAAAAAAAAAAAAAAAAAAAAAAAGAAGAAAAAGGAAAGACCAAAAACGCCATCCGCACGGACATGGGCAACATACGGATACCATCATGTCGGACCAGGGGAAAAGCAGACGGGGGCAACAAGAGACGTGCCACGGTCCCCCGGCACAACAAGTCATCCAATGATTGGCGGTTCGTATCAGTTGATATGTACATACATATTGCCTTTTGGTCGTGCAGACAGACAGCAGACAGACCAGACAGACCAGGCAACCGCATCAACAGACCCCTGCCCATCTCAGGCTTGCCGGACCCGGTGTCCCGGGAGGAGGTTTGGAGACAACATGTTGGCCCCATGTCTGCGTTGACAACTGACCAGTGTCCGGCCCATCGCTCTGAGACTTGTGTGTGTGTGTGTGTGTCGAGTTCTTTGTTGGTTCAAGACCATGTGACAATGTTTCTACCGATAACCAAGTTCCACGCTGCAGAACCAAGGAGGTTCGACAAGCCCGCCCGCAAACGCCATGTGGCTTGGACCAAAAAGCTTTTTTGCCAAAAAGCAACCCCGGTTAGGAGAAACTGCCGATGGCACGCACCCCAAGGCGCTAGCATCGCCATCTCCAATGGTCGGTCGCCTTGTTGCTCTCGCTCGGGGCGCAAAACAAATCTGCCGTCGATGCTGTGCAGAGGAAGCTGGTCACCTCACCACGTGCACCTTGGTGAGCTAACAAAAACCTTCTTCATCCTCGCCCGCTGAACCCATCTTCGGCACAAGTACTGAGACCCAGGGAGGGGAGGGGACTTCGTTTGGGTTTCGAGAACACTGGTCGGTGCGTCCGTCGTCTTGCCGAATGACGACAAGGCAGTTGACTACCAGTAGTTCACTAAAACGAGTACTAGTACAAATTATTGTAGTCTCTTTTCTTCACGTGTATAGTATACATGCCGTAATTACGTGTATGATGGATGTGCGATGTGCATTGCGTTGCATGTTTGATCTTGACTACGGATGTTGGGTCATGTAATTCCGGTAATACAATATACGGATGTTTCTATAAAGGGCCTACATACAGATTACATACGTTACATATGGGACTACAATGTAATCAATCGGCCAAATCGCACATCCTTTCAACAACAAACGCCAAGCAATGTACGGAGTCATACTGCGTCTGCAGGGGCCGCTGAGCTTTCATTTGTACGAATTAAAGAAGAGTATGAAGTTAAAAAAAAAAAAAAAAAAACAAAAAAAAACAAAAAAAGTAAAGAAAAAGAACGACCTACCTTCCCTCTCTCTCTCTCTCTCTAC